ATCCATCCATCCATCCATCATCCATCATCCATCCATCCATCCATCCATCCATCCATCCATCCATCATCCATCCATCCATCCATCATCCATCCATCCATCATCCATCCATCCATCCATCATCCATCATCCATCATCCATCCATCATCCATCCATCATCCATCCATCCATCCATCCATCCATCATCCATCCATCCATCCATCCATCCATCCATCCATCCATCCATCCATCCCCCCGTCCCATCCCAGCGTGTTCACCGCCGCTGTTTGTGTCTCTGCCAGCTCTGCTTGGAGCAGGGGAGCCGGGACAGATCCGTGCCGCCTTTGCCGTTCCCCCGAATGTGTGAGGACACAAGAGGGAGCTTTGCCCGCGGCCGGCGCTGCTCACCCCGCTGGGGCTCTCACCTTTCCTGCACTCTGGAGGAGGGGGGTTCCACCTGGAGCCCGCTCCGCAGGTGCTGCTGCGGGAGCCTCGCAGAGCGTAGCCCGGGCTGCAGGAGAAGGTCACCGTGTCCCATGTCCTGTAGGAATAGCGACGAGGGGACACCGTCCCGTACCGGACACGTGGGAACGGGCACAGGGCAGCTGGCACAGGGAGAGAAAGGAAATGTTCGCCTGCACAGGTTCCTGCAGTGATGGTGTCGGTGCAGCTGGGGTGGGGGTCCCTGGGGCCGCAGGACCCTCCCTTTGCTCCCGGGGGACCCCTCTGCCACCTTTGGTGACAAATCCCCGGCAGCAGCCCGGGACTGAGCCGGAGCACCCAGGATCGGTGCTGCCAGGGGCACCCAGGAGCACCCAGGAGCACCCAGGGGCACCCAGGATCGGTGCTTCCAGGGGCACCCCAGGATCGGTGCTTCCAGGGGCACCCAGGAGCACCCCAGGATCGGTGCTTCCAGGGGCACCCCAGGATCCGTGCTTCAGGAGCACCCAGGATCGGTGCTGCAGGAGCACAGGGCTGTGCCGGGGGCTCTCTGGGGGTGCCCAGCCCGCTCTGGGGGTCCCGGCTGTGGCTCTGGTGACCCCAGAGCGTCTCTGCCATCAGCAGGAGGGCTCGGAGGCTCCGTGATGCCACCCGGGACCAGCGCGGGGCTCCCATTTTCCTCCGCTGGGGTCAGCGAGGAGAGGGGCAGCGGTGAGGAGGAGGAGGAGGGATGTGGGAGGAAGGCCCCAGGGGAGCAGAGCTGCTGCTCTGCCTTACCTGGAGCCCCGGGCGCGGTGCTGAGGAGCAGAGCGGAGCTGCCCAGCAGGCAGAGGGTGAAGGTGGGCACCATCCCCGGCACTGCCCGCGGCTCCGGGGGCGCGGGGCAGATATGGGCACCCCAGTTCCCCCCAGTTCCCCCCAGTTCCCCCCAGTGCTCCCGTGGGAGGAAGGAGACGCTGCTGGGGGACTTCCCAGGACTGTGGGACAGGAACTGTGGGCTCCCCGGCACATGCAGGCACATCCAGCACCCCCGGGGAGGCTGCAGGTGCCTCGGGCTGCTGCCGCTGCTGTTTTTGGCAGGGGAGGATGAGGAAGGAGGGGTGGAAAAGGGCTGGGTGCAGGCAGAGGTGCTGGAGCTGTGCCCACGGTGCAGAGCATCCTCAGGGGAAGTGTCGCAGCTCTGTCCCAGAGCCCCAGGTGATGGTGGTGGCACCTGAGGGACATGGCACAATTCACACTGGAGCGGCAGAGTGGGGCATTCCCTCCTCCCATAAAAACCAGAGCAGCTGTGGGCACAAATCCCTCTGATCCGACCCTGGGCTCATCCCTCACCACTGGCAGCAAGAATAAAGGCCCCAGCCAGGACTTTTTGGTGAAGGAGCAGCCCCAGCAGCTCCAGCTCCTCACCTCACATAGGGGACACTTTCTGAGCCTAAAACAGGCAGCGATAAACTGCTTTTATCTCTTTTATTGACAGAGAGATTCCAGTCCTTACAAATCCAACATTCACCCTTTGGAATTGCACTTGGTCGTTTGCACCCAGATTATAAAAAAAAATCAGGTAGAGTTTATTACAAATGCAGTAAAACCTCTGCAATGGTAAATTTTGGTGATCACACCTGTAAATAATGTTTCAGCATTCGCAATTCCTTTCATTGGATTGTGGGGAGATAATTCCAAGCTGATCCCCAAATCACATATTAAATCAATTGAAAAAAAAAAAAAAATCACTTTGGACTATGCAGTAGGAATAAATGGGATTAAAATAGCAAACCCAAACACAACCCAGAGCTGCGAGGCTTAGGTTGTATTTAGTCCATTTAGTCTCTCACATGGCTTCCAGTAAGAGAGAAATAAAAATAACCAGCAAAGTGCTTGTTCTGCAAGGCTGAGACAGCTGGGCAGGACAGTGCTCTGCTGGGAAGGGAGAACTTTGGGGGGTTTGTTTGGAACGAGGCTGATGTGTGGATGGAAATGGGTATTTGTGGGTTTCCCTCTTATTAAAGGCTCGTTCCTGCCAGCAGGAAGGCGCTGGGGGAAATGGAGAAACCAAAGGTCTGTAGTAGACACATTTTGGGTGGTTCCTGTTCCCAAGTGCGCGTCATGGGAAGCTCCCAGATGGGTGATGTACCTCTGCAGCAGACAAAACCCCAAACCTCAATGTTTTGCTTTTCCCAGCAGCTAAAAAGTCTGAGTGAGTCAAGCTCAGCCAGTCAAAATTCCATATATATAATATATAATATATAATATATAATATATAATATATAATATATAATATATAATATATAATATATAATATATAATATATAATATATAATATATAATATGTTTATGTTATATGTTATATGTTATATCTTATATATATTATATATTATATGTTATATGTTATACGTTATACGTTATATGCTATATATTATACATTATATATAATATATCATATATTATATATAATATATCATATATCATATATTATATATTACATATTACATATTATATATTATATATTATATATTATATATTATATATTATATATTATATATTATATATTATATATTATATATTATATATTATATATT